TCGTGGAATTTATGGCTAAATATTAGTAATACTCGTCTGAACACAAAGCTCTACCGGAAATGTAAATCAGAAATGTCCGGCAAGGGATTTTGACTTCCTTGCAAACACAGAAGGACACTAAAAGTGCTATCAAACAGGTATAACTTTTTAGTTCCGTGTTTTGCTTAAGCTTAAACAGTAACCTCAAGACGTGCTTGCTTCAGACCCAAGCGAATCATGTTTTAGAACCCAACGCAGTGTTTACGCAGCGTCAAACCATGAGGTTCTAGGTATAAGGAATTTGATTTATTAATTTACTTTATAGCAAGAATGTCAGATACATAGCACATTTTTGCATGCCTATCTTCTGCAACAGCCAATTTGTGTTTTTTTTGCATGTAACCAACCAAACAATACAGATTGCGCATGAAGATACTTTTTTAGCCAATAAAATTTCGATTTACCACACACTATTCAGATGCATTACTTGTGGACACATGAAATAACGACCCGCTAAATTGCCTATTTATTCGGCTTTGGCATATTGAGGGCAAAGGTTTGCATCTGCAGAGATTTAAAACAGCTCAGCACATTTTGGGATTTCCTTTCAAGAGATTCTACGCATCAGAATGTTAGGAAGTGATATCTGGTAGCAAGTAATAGCTATCTCTGCATTGTTCACTCTGGATTGCAAAATATAAACTGATGAATATTAGATAGTTGGCTAATTAAAAATTTTTAAGCGCCATACCGTGTCTTACGTATTACCGAACAAAAATTCCACAAACCAATATTTTGCTTTGAACAGCAAGTATAATTATTTTTATCATGAAAAGCAGGCGTACATATAAATTATCTTGGTTTCATTGTCTGGTCTGATTTTGTGCACTAATACTTGAATTGAAAATAGGGGATAGCTTTTAGCCTTATGGGAATCAAAATTTAATTACTTCCGGGGATGCGTTTCTCACAAACAGTTCACAATGGGCATTTGCATCAAAGAACTGGTTGGGTTATCGCAAATTATTTGTTTGCTCAATTCTTTTTGTTGCATGGTGAAAAACTGGACCACAATTAGTTTTGTCATAAGAATCACTATATTTCGTCGCATTTTGTGCAATAAAGCATGTATTTGAAAGTTCGTAAAAGATCTAGACTTTTTATTTGTTACTAGTTGAAAAATAAAGTACAAAACCAAAGTAGGTTTTTCATGCAATGAAAAAATCTGATATCTGAATGTGATGTCATCTGTTTCGAAGATATTTTGCCGTTTTCCTTTTTGTTTAGTACTATCCCGTTGAATTGGAACAAGGGTGATTTTCAGCATCTGCTCTCAAATGAGAGTTCACATGCCCCTTTGAATGCGTGAGAGGAACACCTGCTATCTGGTTCCCGTTAATATGCCCTCAAACCACACTAGCGAGTCCACATTAAGAGGATGAGGATTTGTCTGTCGAAACAACAGAAGTAACTGCTGTCTAGTGTAGACATAAAAGTTTTTAATAGAGAACTGAAACCTACTTCTAGTTAATTTGTGAAAATTGGGCCAATCAGCACAGACTAATCGTAGCAGTCGAAAAAAAATTAATACAGATTTGTTTCACTTCTGATGGAAGCTCAATTCACGATTCTTGATCTTACCTTTTTGCACCTAGTCAGTGTTTAAAATAAAAGATCTTGGGAACGTTATCTTAGAGCTCAAAGTTTTCTTGGAAGTGTATACGAATCAGCGGATTTTGTGTCAAAGCTTGGACTGCTCAGCTGGTGTCTTCAATAAATACAGCTGTGGCATGCAATCTTCATCTCTTCTGCCCTGCCCCGAATTTAAAATCTGTCAATACCCTTAAGTGTATAGTTTTCGTTTATACATTTGCGGCTCCACGTTCCTAATAGTCAAGCCCTGGTGTGCTCGCCTGTCCTGGATTTAGATTGATGTCCTGCAGTAAAGTAAACTTTATGTCGATTAACTCTACTTTGTTCTCTGGATTGTGACCATAGGAAGGTTTTCAGTTAGTAACTTCAGACAGCCTGTAGAAAAGAACAACATACATTTGCATCAAGTAGATAAGTATGAGTTTAAATGCATAGTTATCAACTTGATTATTCGGTCTTGTAATTATCGATTTTACGTACAAAAAGGCAATTATTGGCTGGGAATTTACCATTAATCGAATTTAAATGGCTTGTTATCGCCTTGATTAGGGCTATCGTTTTGTCACTGTAAAACCAGTAGTATGCTCTTCGACTGCTCGTCGTCCTCAGCTCGCTGACTATTAACGACTCGCTGAAGGTGCTGCATGTGGTTTCCTTTCAAGAGTCTATTTGCCATGACAATTTGTCGAAGTCATTAGGACGCATTGGAATGCGCACAGCAATTTATGGTGCTTCAAGTATTCCCTAAATAGCATAAAGTACTGGATGGGTTATGCGTTCAGTTATCTTAAAAGTTCTCATTATTTATTTTACTTATCTGTTCAAATTTATGCAATTGCCCATTATTTTAACTGTCTGGACTGATTGTAAGGTGCTATGAGTGAAAGGCGTAGCTAATGTGGTTTGCAACAATTTACCTTTATTGTCCATTCCTAAGTAACAATTGTATAGTAATAGTGCTGGTGGAATAAAGCACTCAGAGGCCTATTATGTTCAGTACGCAACGACTGGCAAGATTTAGCCAAATGTTCAATATGGATTCCCCGTTCAGTAGGCAAAATCTACAAGTAAAACTATAGGCTGTTCCGAATGCCTCGAATAAATTGACTTCGCAGACCTGCCAAAGTCGTCAAAATGTTGCTGAATTGTTCAAGCTTTTTCCAAGAGGACATGACCGATGACAAACATGCATGGCTGCTGGCACACCGCCGACCTTTTCTGTGTTTGTATGCCTCCTCCGCCATCACCTGCTGCTGGCAATCTATTTGGTAGATAAACACATATGCCAGACATATGTGCATGGCATTTTACTTCTTGAGTGGAACATAAGCGGATATTTTGCCATTCCGTATTCTGGAATTTTGAATAAAAAGTGCTTTAACAAGAATTTAACTTTTAAATTGTTAAAATAATCAGAAGTAGTTTGCATGTATCTTTCGAAGTTGCTCTTCACATTACTTAGATGTTTGATGTTGTATAAAATGTGTAAATGAGGTAGTTTAAGTTTTTGAATGCACGACTGTGCAATGCTCATATTTTTAAATACTAAGTTTACAAATCATCTACGATATTATTCTATATATTTTATACAATAGCAAATTAATGGCCACAGAAGGGCAATTTGGCACATCACAACCCAAAATTAAACTTTCACGAGGGAATCAGTCCGCAAAATTATGCAGTATGCCTTTATCACAGGGTGTGGAGTGTACATTTTCGAATGATTGATCAGAGCGTCCAGATGAAAATTAGCTTCTCATTTGACAGGTGACCTTGAACTGTGGCTGTCTAAAGCTTAACGGTCTTGCGTAACCAATTCGGGAAGTTTAACAGGAATGCTGGGTAAAATTCCATCAAATAATCCACCTGTTTTGGCGAAAACAATCGTGTGGGTGCAGTCTAGCAGTTTCACTTTTTGTCGTAAAGCCACACTCTGCCTTCCATTGCTGGCTCTTCTACTTTCCTACTTCCTTTGACATCTACTTTTGAAGATTTTGGGAACCACTTCAAAAGTCCAGGCCTGATAATTAGTTTGTTAATCTAGTAATTGTGTTGTGTTTAATTGCACTACTGTGCATTCATTATATCAAGTGACCACATGCAATTTTATTAAGCTTGCCTAATTAAGATAAGTGGTTAGCTCCCTATCTTTTGTGAATTTGGTTTCCTCAGTATAACGTAACCTTTAAGCTCATAAGTCTAAATCACTTATTTTTTCGCATATCGAATGCTCTTTTAGGTAACTCCAGAGAGACGTAAAAGCTGAATGGGAATAATGCGAAAACACCAGCGACGGATACTAAGAGCTGTTTTGGCATTGCCGTACTCAAAGGTCAAACAGCGGAATGCAGGCCTCGAGATATTTGAACTGCGAGGCATTCGAACCCGTACCACGGTTTCATCATCTTAAGTCTCTACTAAAACTATTCACAACTTTTCATTTTGGGGTTCGCCGCAATCTCTAACAAGATTTGATAGGTAACTTCCAATCTGGGCCTCTGCAGGGATAGTAGCCAAGTCTTTTGGTAGGCCTAAGTCACTAATAAGCAACGCCCAAACAACTTAAACAAGACATCTCACCACGTGTTCCGATTGCCGAGTGTTTGCCTCTTTTCCGGCAACTTTGATTTCTTTCTGCGAAAGGCCGCAGTGATCACTTCAGTTTCCAATTTGCCGTCAATGTCTGCCTCAAAAATTATCCACTAAGTCACTCGTTTCTTCAGCAACACCCAACAATCCAACTGTAACATTTACTGTACCAGGAGACATCGCACTTATGACTACCCCAGAATTATCTTCACCAAAGCATCACGCTTTCAAAGAAAGCACTCTTGAAAGACATTAGTTACTACTTATCTTCCTAATGTCATGTAGCGTGTTTTTGATAATGCGGTGAACGTAATCTACACTTACCCTTAGGTATCACTAAAGATTTATAGGTGTGGGCGAATCGTGTAGTAACAAACAAGCTTTTGACAACAATACTTCCACTTTCCTTTGCCGCTGCTAGACTACTTTACGACCTCCTATGTCGATGTTTTTAAAATAGCTGCTTGCTACGAAAATTGCCTCTCACCAGACACAACTGTCAACGTCGGCAAACCTACTTATGGAACAGATTCCGCCTAGAGTTGCAATTTGTGGATGCTTGCAGTTGTATGTATCAAAATCATCAATCAGTGCAGTTAAAAATAAATAGTTAAGAATGAAGTTTGTCTCGGCAGCTTCGGCTAGAGTCTATATGCATATGAAATGAAGTTTTGCGACTAATTATTTAAACCTTTTTCGGACTTAATGATTCCCACCTTGTTTTTCAGGCTTTGCTAAACATAATCAGTGCTATACCTAGGCAACATAACTGCAAGCTAATGAATGGTGTTCAAGATGAATTAAAGGAAGAATTTTACGCTGTTGGACAGAAAACTCCCAATAATGCCTATAATCCGTGTTCTGACTTGTTTCATTCCAGCTTAATCCGTGGATTAAACGGTGGGTAAAATCCAACAAGGATTTAATGCCATGATCTCAATAAGCTCTGCCTTGTTCTAATCGCAAGTGCATATTTGTAGCTGTGCCAGCAGGAGCAGAAACCAGTAGATCAAAACCAACCATCAGAAAAATGACGTCAAATGAAAGAGGGGGCTGGTTTCACTTCCATTGCTCTTGCCAAGCCTCCACGTTCCGTTACATTGATTCGCAGTTCGCATTCTGCGTTCCCTATCTGATTCACCATCATCATCTCCACTTTGACATTGTCGCTTATTCCGCAGAGGTCAATTTAATATTTCTCAAATTCCTTAAATAAACCTACTTTTAATTTAAAGCTCTGATATTCCGGTGGAGCAAATTAAATCTTTGAATGTTTCCCGATATAGGAACGAATTGAGTTGTAAGGGACTAGAGCTTCGCATTTCAAATATTTGTCTGTCTTTGAAAGATATGTGTGTTCAAATGTCATAGGTCAACAGCTCCACATTCTTGTTATGGAGGAAGCATTGATTGAGATAGGCAATTTCTTGAACTTTCCAATGGGCCAGTATGGAACTTATTTTCAACTTAGCATGGTTTGCCACAGTTGTTCAATTCGCGCCTAGCACTTTTGCACATCAACACTCACGCGACACAACCACGTTCCATCTGGCCAACGCCATCCTGTCTAGCCACAATTTGACCCGCTCCCCTTGACCTCTTCCTCGTTCAATCCTTTGAAATGGAGTGAAGATTGCTTGGGTTATGTGCCCTCAGTGAAGCGCGTAATTAAGATATGTAGGCCCTCGCTGATGTCAATTCCACAGATAAAGTGAAAAAAGTATTCATCGATGGTGTTGCTGAACTTTGTCAGAAGGTCCCTTAGGTATTATTTTATATTAAAGTTAGATTCAAAACATTGTAATCCTCCACCGACCAAAGCATTTGATCAGGGATGACTTCCGGTAAAACATTATTTTTGAGGAACATGAACCTAAGATTAAGTTGCTTTTTACACTGGGTTTCTTTTACAAAACTTTAGAATACCTATTTTTAATGTTCATCACGTTAAAGAGGTGAAAGCCAATCAAAATTTGTCAATGATAACTTCGCTGTGATGCTTTCTTTGTTCAATAAGCACAAAAATTCTAAATATTCTTAAGCACAATTTCACTCCCCAAGATATCTCAGTGGAGACACCTTCATTTTCGGGATCGAGGCTCTACGTGACTTGATGAATACGCGTTTTTGGGATCAGACGGGATTCTTCCCTCGTGTGGCCCTCTGCGACTTCGAATTGCGCCGAATGGGCAGCAACCAGCACCGGTACACCATTCAGTGCGTCCTTCGGATAAACATATTCAATGAAAAAATCTACATCTTCCTCTGGTTCTGGTTCTTCCTCGTTTCTGTACTTAATCTCCTTAGTCTTCTACGTTGGTGCTACAAGTAAGAACATTTTTTAATATAAGTAGTCGTTTCGTGTAAGGATTTGTTTTTGACCCTGCAAGATAAGTCAGTAATAAAAAGTGCTGCTTGATACACTAAAAAATGGAGAACATTAAGCGATACCGTCTTTGTTTTCAAAAAAAACAAAAAAACACAAGCAATGTATTTTTGCATTTTTGCTAAGTCATAACTAATGCATGCTGGATTCAGATTAATTTCCTGCCGTCACTGCTTTGGTTCGTTTAATAAGGAATCGCTGTTTCTTTATTCTGCGTCTTTGTGAACACAGGATTGCAAAGACTTCGTGATGAATCAATTTCAGAAATACGCTGTCGCTGTGATCTCAATTTCTACTCAGCCTCATTAGTAATTCCCTGCAAAACTTAACATTACGCAAGAAAGAATTAGCTGCGTCCACTTCAAAAAACAGATTTTTGGTTACATTTACTGTCTTAAATTTGTGAAGCCTCAAACAAATGTTTTGGCCTTACTTAGTTTCAAGTGCTCACATGGAGCTCACTTCGTGTCATTTCCAGCTAAAGCTAGGGTCCTCCACTCACAAGTACTTTATGTTCATTTACACTGTCTGTTTCTTCATGGACAGGGACAAACATACGATAGTAGATTTGTAGCGACCTTCTGGTCAGCTACATCTGTTAATGCGTTTTTTTTAAGGTTGTTAGATTGGGTGACGTCGATGCTAATCTTTCTTGGCTTTAAAATGCGCTCAATTGACCGTGACTAAAACAATATGCAATAAATGTTAATCAGCCTTTCTAAGATGCATGATGTCGTGTGAGGCTCGCTTGTAGAACTGTATTAGTGACATTATTTCCAAGTATGACAAGATAGTGTTCCTTTAAATAGCCTGTTTACACATGAACCAGACAATTAATGGTATTGTGTCGGCCAGACGTGACGACTCTAGCCTAAAAGCCCATGCACGGGACGCGGTTTGCCGTGTTGGCAGGCGTGACAACTTTGCCATGAAGTCAAGGAATTCGCGCACACAGATTGACTTTAATCTCCCTTTAGTACCACTGCCTTTGTAAATCGAACCCTCCACATGGTTGTTCAAATTTAATAAAGCAAATTATAAAAACCTTTTCCTCTTTGCAAGGGTAATGATTAATAGTATCTTACATCTGTGTAAGACCAATACTTTTAGTTAAATGAGCAATAGCCTATTCCCTAAAATAAGTCTGGACAAGGCTGAATTTGATGCCCCCTTACATAAATTACTGTAGGAGAGTAAATGAATGGAATCCGCAGAAGCATTAACACGTTAGAGGCTAAAAATGCGGCATTAGGGATCGTGCAAAATGTCTGCGCATTAAGGTAAATAACTTCCTTCCAGATTCCCCAATAACTTTGAGGTTTCAATCTAAGTGGCAACCATTTTCCAGCAGACTTTCTTTTTCCATCTCTCCTTTAACAACAAAGCTAAAAGAAGACTTAACCAGCACCTAACTCCCCCCAGATCCTCATTTCTACTCATTTACACGTAGACACTACTGATCAGTGTTTTTATTAGACCAGCGCTCATGATTTTCTGCTTTACACAGGCTTAAGTACTAAGAGACTCAACACTTACCTCCCAATATCCCCCAGTCTATTATATTTACTGGATCTTCGACATGTTAAAACCACTTGAATCGCGCAGCGTCTCAACTACTGAGTTTATTTCTAATTCCAAGATCTGAGCTTGATTAAAACCAACACGTGTTGAATGTCTTCCCAGAAAAGGTTTTGTTACAAAACCCTTTAAAAAATATCCAAACCCTCACGTTGAATGCACAATTTGTTAGTGGCATCTCGCCGCATAGAACACTAGGGGTGGAAGGCATCACAAAAAGTTTGGAGTGGATTCTGTAGAAGGACAATGCCATTTTGTGGGAGGTGGCAGCGTTTATGGTGGGTGTGTTACGCAACAATGCACCAAAATGTTACATTATCAAGACACCTTTTATAGCCAATTAATGCGTGATAACAGCCTTAGTTTGGGTTGCATCATTCACTTTGCAAAGTAAAAACAGTCTCCTAAAAGCCTTTTGGTCTTTTTTAAACTCCTATGGCAATTGAAGTGATTACTACTTAGACAGTTGGAATTAGTGATTATACTCATGTTTCTTGGCGCCATTAGGTCCACAGCATAGGATTTGAAAAAGAGCTGCACAATTTTTAATAAAACAGTCTTAATTGTGACTTTTAGACATCCAGTGCTCCCTACACCTCAATTTAAAATATCACTTTTGCCTTTTATGCAATCACTTAGACTTCCTTATCAGTAAACTCTCAAATACCTAATCCTAGTAGTTTAGACTGACTTGAAGAGCGTTTTCTGCTTATGGCAACCCCGTCGAATGTTTCAAATAGGAAATTTATTAAATAAAAATTGAAGCTCAACACCAAAAGGTGATGTGCTTGTGTTATCAGCCAAATTTAATTCTCACAACATGAGCCCAAATTTATGTATAGACTAAACAATTTGGAATATTTCAAGGAATCACAATTTAACAAGCCTGGACTGCTAAGTCAGTTCCTGTTCAATCAATGAATTTGTTCTTGATTTTATAGTTTATATTTTGTGCATGGTTAGACCAAAGGGATGGGATGATGGCAATGTAAAAGTGATTAAGTCAGTTACTAGGATTTTTAGTTTGCGCATAAAATGTAGCCATCACGGTAAGACATGTGTGAAAGTACAAACTCGAAAAGGCAGAAATTTTGACCATGGACCAGTAATTATTGAGAAGTGTCAGAGCGGGAAAAACATATCCCTCGTACTGCCCTCACTCTTTCTCAGCGAGATTAAATGTTGTTTGAGAAACGAAATGTGCGTCATTAAGAAATAAAGGACGCTAATAGATGGAATGACGTCTAAAAAGATCTCCAGCAAAGCGAATTCTTATCGTCTCCATTTGAAAATCATTTATTTGGAATCATGTCAATGCGTATTAGTGAAAATCAAAAAAAGGGTAGCGGCACCCATTCACTGTTGTTTATTTCATAAATCGACGTCTTCAGAATTCAGGATCACTCATGTTTTTTCAAGTTTTCCTGTCAAAATTTATAGGCAACTTAATGATTACCACTAACGAATTTCCAAGCATTGTACTTAAAAGTGGAATCAATGACCAAAAATGCTATACTTGAAGGTATTTTCATCGTATTTCAAGTGTCTTTTAAACAATCCTGCTGCCTTGGTTTTACCAGTCAAACCAGCCAGAATTTAGGTGTGCATGGAAGCAAATTACTCAGGTATACGTTTACGCCAATCTTTCACATTTTAGGCTAAATGCAAGTCAATCAATTTTGGAATAAAAGTCACGAGCGTTTCGATAGTGCTGTGATTTTGTGTCTTGAATGACCCTGGTAAATATTGATTGCTCAGAAATAATCGTCTTAACGTTCGACTGATCTGAATCAGGTGATCAAACTAACCAAAACACAGTGAAACTTACATTTTGTACCGTGGCTTTGTGCGTAACCTATCAAGATTGGATTTTTGCGTTCCCCAAAAGATGAGGAACTGGAATTTCGTGGTCGAAATACGTGATAAATTAATTAGAGATTTCTATGAGTCTCGTATTGGAGCCTAGAAATCCAACTGAAAGTGAAGAACGGGTCTAAAGTCACACGAAATCAGCAATTCTAAAGGGCAAGTTCAGCCACTAACGCATACCTAACAATCCGACCCCAGTATGAAAATTAAGTGAAGCATACCTAAAGCGCTTGGCACTAAAACACATATTTAAATCTCACAATGGATCGACGTTTTCATCCGATTTCCGCAGATGACGATTTACACGAAGAAGCTTTTTAGTTGGCGGCTAAGCTCCCAGATCACCTACTTATCTTCCTTGGGATAATGGATTTCCCCAATATTTTGTGTCATGAAAAGTTTCCTTAACTAGACATGTTAAAAAGCTACACACCCTAGGGGACGAAATTTTTTTCTTCTTACCTCCTGTGTTGCTTATGTCCATTCATAATATTGTTTTGTGGAGGTCACGGTGTTGTTTATCCTTCCTTTTCCACTCTTAGACTTATGTTCCGGTATGTGCGGGTGCTTTTCATTCGAAACCTCATTTGCATTTACTTCAACATTATCGCCGCCAAGTCACATCTGCCTCATATTCACGGGTCCTCTAATAAAGACGATAAGCACGAACAGAAACAGCTTTCTATTGCCGACGTCTTTAAGACAAAGGACGACTTGCGCGCTTCAACAACATTCTCCGAGGACATTCTTGGCCAGGACGGCGTCCTCCTTCTTAGGTTTATCTGCATGAACGTCGGGCCATCCTCAGCAGCTGAACTGGCCGGGGTGATCTGGATTAAATATCGGAAGACGGCTGTTGCTGCCACAGGACCTTGCTCGTGTGTAGAAGACGTTGTGTTCATGAACATAGCTGCAAAAGATCGTGAAAAGGCTCCCGCTGTGCCACCGAAAACAAAGAAGCCTCCAGCTCAGAAAATAAACTCTGGCTTTCTTCCGCTGAGCGTCCTAATCCAGAGAAACAAGACTCAAGAAGACAGTGACAGTGACAGATCCTCAGAATCATCGCGCCCGACAATTGAAATGCTGCAAGAACGCAGGCGTTACCGACCGATCAATCAAAAACGCGGTGGGTATTACTACGACGAAGACGATGTTGACCAAATGTCTGTTGTCCACGAGAACAGCTGTCATGAGAGCTTTTCCGATAACCATGAAATTATTGACGCTGAGGGTGGACAGGACAGCCATGAACTGATATCAGACTGCCGATCATTTAATGAATATTGATTGAACATTTTCTGTAAATCAAATAAATTATGCTTTTTCTGTTTATAACTCACATACATCCCTACCAAACGACTTTCGTTTTAGCTGGGTCAATAAATCCTCACACTTGATTGAGCATTTGCAATGCTAAGTTTGGGTGGAGCAGAAATGGAGCAAGAGTAATCTGTTTGCCTTTTTCTACCATCACCACTTGCTCTGACAATTTGTCCTCCAAATAACACTGATAAGGCATGGAATTTAACAATTCCAATGTGACCTTGGAGTCGTAATTGGTCCTTTTAGCCTGTGGATGGAATCGATATCTGAACTTGGTGATCTAACTTCAACATAAATTTCCTGTGTGACACTCGATGGATTAACCGTCCTTCAAAATAATTTAAATACTAGCTTAACTGAAGTCACCCCTAAGAGGAAATGTGCATCCGAATCGGCGCACAAGTGAAATTACCTCCAGCTGAAGTAAAACGCAAACAGGTTTTAACTTTAGATAACAGTCTGCTTCAAACAAATCTGATTAACTCTAGGTCACTAAGCGGCCAACATTCCAAACATTTGCCCTGTGTATCCCCTAAAACTGCGCAATAAACCTTCTGAGGTGCCATTTTTATATCGTTTCGTTTTTAATGTGAAGTATACCTCCATCAATTGTAATAGCGACTAAATTAATGTGATGTACCATAAATCATATTTAAGCTTCATATTAAACGAAGTCACCATCCATAATAATCCAGACCAGTAGGTTGAACAACATAAAACAACAATTTTTTGGTTTGGTGTATTTTATGAAATGCGTTCAGCAATTCTACTATTCAAGTATCTCGAGGCCAAAACACTACTGCCTCATTTTACTATGAAAAATTCTAAATGGCACTAGTGTAGTAGCAAAACTAGTTGTCTCGGGCTGATATTATGTCAAATATGATTCTTTTAATGGTCTGTAGCACGGTTCAGACATTAGGTCTTTTTTATAAATAAACCATGGTGTGAAAGGGCTCCATAAATTTGCATAACTCCAATATTTGGATTTGGCCAGTAAAGAAATATGCGCAGATAAACAGACGGGAAAATGAATGAAGAACTTCCCTCGATCACATTTTGTTATTAGATTTCGTGAGGGGGCGCGGTAGCTAACACTCCAAAAGTAATAATTGCTTATTAAAATTTATCACGCCAATTTGCGCATCGTATGAGGTTCGGCAATAACGAGGGCACATAGAAAAGTCACAGAGTAACTAATGTTTAATATTTCCTGGCTTAGCCTCAGTTTTCTTTCCAATATCCCACGTCAAGGTTTTCTTCTCTATTCAGTCGTTTGCATTGCCCCGTAGTAAGATAGTGTTGCCAAACCCCATCTACTAATTAAAACATTGCAATTATGCGGGGACTTAATGATTTCCGCAAACTATTTCACGAGAACCAGTCCAGCCAGATGTCTAATCTTTTGCCATTGGGTGATCTAAAATCGAATTATGTATAAACATTTCTGTAAAAATAAGTATTGTTTTTTAGTCAATAATGTGCTATCCATTGTTACCTCCAACTGTATTCTGATGTTTTACGAGCCATTAAAATCCTCCTTTGTAGGCGCCGTGTGATGTTTTCTCCGATAAGTTGTGGCTTGATATAATATCTTTTTGGCGTCTTTCATGAAACCAGCAATGTTGCCACTCAAATTGCATCCAAGAGAAGGGAACGCATAAAAGTTTGAAGCGGCAGAGGCAGGGGAGTAGGACGGGTGCTGGAGAATTTGACATCTTTACTCCCTTAGCAGTTGCACTGTCTGTTGAGCGACATGTTGTCCATCATTGTCGCGATGAATGTCTGCACCCTTTCGATTGACCAAATTAACACGTTTTGTTTGGACTTCAACAGTGACTTGGGTGAGCTACGCCCAGTACTTCGCCACAGTTATTGTCTGGCCACGTGGAAGAAGCTCGCAAGAACTCATGACCTTGCAATCCCACCAGACACACATCAACTCCTTCTCTGGATGTGCCAATTCAGCATTCGGCATAAATTCTGTTCTTTCACTTCCGTGACTCCAGTTTGTTTTTCCTATTATTTTGTTGCAGACAGACCACCTCACACTTCCATTTATGACCTGACCCATGAAAAGTTCGCCTTTTAGACCAGTGAGGAT